TTGTTTTGGAATGTTTTAAGGTTAGCGTTGTTTGCATTACGTTTTCCTTGTTTCGACTTTTCGTGAAAGCCGGTCGCATTGTGGCTGCATTTGTCCCTCTAGCCGGCCTCTGTCCTCAGTTCGTCGAATAGATACTAAGATCACGAAGTTTCATTCTTTTATTCTATTGTAATGACTCAAATGATTGATCGTGATCATTAATTTTTCTGCCTGTACATCATGAGATCGACGAGAGTGTTTCGTCTGACCTATCGGTATTTTACCGATAGGTCAGACGAAACACTCTCGTCGATCTCATGATGTAAAACACCAGACTTGGTCCTGAGTTTGTAAACTTTTGATGGTCCCACGCAACGTTTCTCGATCTAAATATATACAATAGCCAATATTATCAAACATTATTAAATTCTTAGTCATGAGAAAAATGTCAAATGATATTGACGGTGAAATCTTCGCGGCTTCTTGTGTCCTTCTACAGCCGCCATGTAGCGAGATCATCCTGAAGCGAAACATGACTTTGGAATGCTCACAATTGTCACCAGGTTTGGTTGGAGGAAAGCGCTACGCAGATCTAAAATTTGCACTAATCGTTTCATTCTAGGTTGTTACTTGCTAGTGGTGCAATTACCTCCCTTGCTCTTGGAAGGATGGCGGAAATTGTGTCATTCGTTCGTTGATACAAACGGTCAAAAGAGAAATTTTTTTTTGCAGAAATTAGTTTGCGCAGGTTTGTGTGCTTTCCTCAGTTACCCTCTTGTCTCATTCAGATGTTTTACTTACTCGTTTTTACTTATCTGATATTTACCTATTTGTTTATTAACATGTGAAAGCTATTTATTATATAGTATATTTCCGTTGTGCTTAATATGAAGAGTTATGCCTGAGCCGAGTCGTCTGTGTTTATGGAGCCATGTTATTCGGTTCGCTAGCTACAGCTTGAATTCCCTCCTTAACCTCCCGAAAAAAAATAATGAAAAAAAAAAAAACTTCCATTTCCATCGTGGAACAACATGTTTGGCGATTTAGAAAGTGTAGTGGAATCTCGATTTTTCGAATCTCCGAGGGAAACAAACATTGGTTGGAAAAATCGTGCAAAATGCTCCTTTCTTTTTCATATAATCAAAAATTAGGGTTTGGCATTCACATTTTGGCTTACTTCTGTAGTTTTCTTTTTGCCCTTTCACGTTATTCCTGATAGAAAAATAAAATTAAAAAGTAGCAATATTGGACAAGTTGATTCATGTACTTCACAAACCAAATTGGATTTGTTCGCTATGTGGGACAAAATTTTTCGTACTCGTAATGCTATTACGATAATTAATCCGCACTCACGGAAAACGTGATCAAGGCCGTAATGCATTGCGGGCATATAGGAGCGCTTTTGAAAAGAAGACCTTTATTTTTCTAAGGTAAAACATAACAGATACCATAGTTCATTTCTGTCAGCGTAGTCGGGTAAGAAACCAGACAGACCCCCAGCATTGGCACTGCTGGAATTTTCCATGAAAATTTTAACTCGATGCCATAGTTAGTGGATTTGCGGAGTCTAATAACCCAATTATTAAAAAAAGTTCCTACTGCCTAATTTCCCAAACAACGGTTCGACTTTAGCTGATATAGATTGCAGGGAACGCGAACCCTAAAAGAAAAATCGAACAGTTTTGAACTCCATAATTGCAAAGCGCTAAATATCTGAATTCTCCTTACCAATTCGCGTACGTTTCTTCTTATGATCGTTTTGAGAATTTGCTTGTAAATCAAGAGCATATCAAGCCTTACCTGATGAGATATTTTTTGTCCTCGTTATCTGTTCGTTCAGTGTTATTTTCTCAAACCTACTCGTGTTTTCTTTGAGGAGCAATCGCAATCTTTGACCTTCGGCTAGTGATGGCAGATTTGTCCCTCATCTTTCTGTTTATTTTCACCTCTTGGCCCGTAAATCTTTTCATTGTATTAGCACCGGATTAAGTTCTCGTCCGAGAGAAACTGTTAATCGAGCCAGTTTGCAAAAGCAAACAGATTACAGAAGTGGGCAAGTCGGCGGTTAAACCTGCCTCGCCGCACGTCAGAGAGAGAAGAAAAGATTTCCCGTGGTTTTCCCGCTGGTTCACTGGGAGGCCAAGCCCGATTTACTAACGGTAATGTAGTATTTCTATCAGCTGGAAGTGTAAATTTGCATTCTTCGCGTGTGCAACGCCTTTAGTAACCAGCGGGCGCTCGGTTCATGGCACGCGATTGTGCGCTGGTTCAGCGCCGATCATTTTTGCCCTGTCGTGTTTCTAATGGTTTGAATCTAAGCGATCGCTTGATGGATAATTGCTAAATGAACTCGGGTAACTGTCAAAGAAAGCTCTGAACTACGTACGGAGGTATGATTTCTGTTATTTCATGCGCGTAGGCGGCGCTTGGATCCCGAGATGCCGGTTGGTTCTGTATCGATTTCTATCAACTTTGTGCTACGTTCGTAAGAAACAATTTGAAAATTATCTCTAGATTTAAGAGTGTAGTAGATAAAACGCTTCTTGTAAACTCGTCCTGAATTGAATGTATAATCGCAACTGAGTGAGTAGCTGATAATTAGCTGAGCTCTGAACACTCAAAGTGCGTTGATGTAAAGAAGTTGGGCTTTGTATCTTCCCAGCATGGCCACATCTTGCATGCTAATCTATTTAGACACAATATTCGTTGACAGAATGGAAGAAAAACAACAACACTTTAGAAAGAGAAAAAGAAATCAGTGGTCTTTTTATTGCATCCTTTGTTCTCGAGATACTTGAGTTATTAAAGGAAATATTCACTCGATACTTTTCGCGTGATCCCCAGAGATGTCTTTGTTTTTCTTAGTTTTGTCGCGACGCCGACCTCACGGGCTTGTTTCCTTTCAAAACAACCGTGATTCCTCGACATTGGGTGTAAGCGATATGAAACTCAACTTTCCTTCCTTCAAGAATATTAATATCAACATATATTTTTTCAGGCCGCCGTAATCAAGCTTTGGAAATTCGAACTCGAAAAAAGAGAAAGTGAAACGTCAACAATGCAAGGGGAAATCTTCGCGAAAAAAACGCCTGAAAACTGAGATCTCTGTCTTCCTGTTTTAATTTGTTGTTCACTTGAGTTGTGTATTGAATAATGATTTACAATTTTCTTATCAATTTGAGAAGAAGCTGTTTCTCGAAAGCTACCTCTAGTCTGTTGTTTGAAGGTTCAAATCGGAGGTTTCGATTTGAACTTTTATATTTTTAACGGATAACGTTTCCCCTCATAATGAGTGCAAAGTCTCACTGTTATAACATGTCCAGATTGGTTCCTGTAATTTTATTGAATCAGTTCATTATATGTGCTTGTTTACTATTCTATTGTTATCGCAAGACAAATGTTATTGCATTGCCGGAAATCATAAAAACTTGAAAATTCCAAACAACTTCCTCAGATTGTGCGAACCGATTTCATAACATGGCGAAACTACAAAAAGTACAACTACTAAGTTTCTCTTTTTCAAGACTTCAGTTGACAAGATCGCTTCAGTAAGATTTAACTGAAATCGTTGCCGAACGTTCGTTCATGACAGTGCTGTCACTTTGTGTTGCGATTTATAGTGGAAAAATGTGATTATTTATTAGCTTGTTTAGGATTTCAAAACAGTGTCGAAACAGCCTTGATCCCTTTTCGTGCGGTTTCTGTTTCGCCGGCGTCATATTTCGGATCATCATTACAACGATACAGATGAAAGGTTATCGGTGATGCCTTGGATAATGAAGCAAAAAATGCCAGTTTTATCTTAAGTTGCCCCTTCATCGCGCTCTCTCTCCACTGAATTTGTAGCGTGGTTATCACCAGTGGCTTGATTTGGGACAGTTGATTTTGTGTGATATTTCGTCGAGTACAACAGGCAACTGTATGGAATGTTTATGAAGCTGTTGAACCCGGTGTTGGGCTCATCAAGAGACAACCCTTCCGGCTTTCGTTCGTGCGTTTTACAAAGAGATAAACAAAAACGAATTATGCGAAGAAATTAGGCACTGTTATCATAATCAAATATAGAGTGATAACAGTGCAATTATTAAGACGAAACCTCAGTAAACGAATTAAGCATTTTTGGGGGATAATTACATCTTTTATAACTGGCTTGAGTGGATTGCTTTTTGGCACAAGCATCGAAAGACAAATCAAGTCAAAATTTTCGTTGCATGTATCTGCCGTCACCGAGTATCATTTTGAAAGTGAATAGCGCCGCTTTTATAACTCGGCACTGTCAAATGAACAGGAACTTTAAAAGACAGCAGAAGGACTAACCGTTTTGTTTTCAATCTTTTTCACCGTTTTCATACATATTCACCGCAGTGACTTTGATCTATTTTCTACGTAGCGGATTTACTCAGTACAATTTAATCCTTTCACCTTGGAGTTCGACTACGAATTAAGCACTACTGCCGTTCACTTCTCTCATGCGTTCTGCTAAGAATTAATTTTACAGCACTTGGATCACTCTCAGTGAAGTAAGTAATATATCAAACACGAGAGACAGTGTTTCATCGGGATATCCGAACACCGAGATGAAAGTTGAAAATACGACGCGCAGCGGAGTATTTTTGATGAAATTCGAGGTGTTTGGATAGCCGATGACACACTGTCTCGAGTGTTTGATATATCTTCCCAATCGAAACAAAAACTAACGAGTAAACGGAGAGGTAAAATCGTTTAAATTTATGCTAATTAAGACCAGCTATCCAGGCTCATTCACGGTTGTGATTTTCTTTGTTTGCACTTGATGAATTACTAATGAGTTTGAGAAGCTTGTCCCAAAACGTTTTTCCGACTGGAGTGCGGTCGTTTTAGCGTGCGAATTCGGCCTCCGCCATATCTCTTTCCGCTTTCTTTAACTTTCGTCCTCTCAAGATTTTGAACCTCCAGAGCGGCCGAGAGCGAAAGAGACGGCCATATCGACGGGCTAGCTCTCGCTGGATAGAGGTGATTAATAATGTTGTACTTTTTTGCAGAATCCACCGTGTCCATCTGGTTTGTTCCTTGTGCTGTCAGGAGATGAGGCGGGTGCTTAATCATGGCAGAAAGTTGCGAGTATTGTTACTTCTCATAGCATTATGTTCTGTGTTCCTAATAACGTACCAAGGAGACGTTGTATGGTTTTCCGATCGTGGTGAGTATATACCGGTATACTGCGCGTGCGCAACTGCAAATCTCAAGTAACAATTAAATCTGCTCTATTTTGCTGAAGTATGAAGTGTAATACTAAGTTGAAAAATGATTGGAAATCATTATTTGAA